TTTTCCCCCCCCCCCCCCCAAAAAAAAGTTTTTTTTTTTTCAATTAATAATAATAATAATTAAAAAAAAACATTGTGTATAAATTTGTACACACCCTTTTTCCTGAAAAATAACAGCATACAGTGGAAAACATGACTTGTTTTATTTATTGTTTTATAACTATTGTAGCTGATGCTTCCAAATCTTTCTTGCAGTTTTAACAAGGATTTGCAAGACAATCCCAGTGACTGTTCCGTCAACTGACTCCTTCCCCCATTGTTGCCCTTTTTGTTTACATTGTTTCGGATTTATTTTGTGTTCTTCATACTGTTCAGTTGCCACATTCTTTGAGACAAATCACTCACTACGATCAGTTCAGTTCGTTCCTCAGCCTTAAACATTACAACCTAACACCTCACATATATCTGTTTTCACACATTTCAGTGATGCTGTCACCGGGGAGTCCTTCCAAATGGCAAGTGCAAGATTCCCTCTCCTTGACACCCAGTCTCCTGTACAACGACAGTGACCAGACGGAGGATGAACTGGAGGTCTTTTCCTCTGAGAGCAAGGCTGCAGGAGTTGTGCCTGATCCAAAGCCATCCTCCGCGGCTAATGGGAGCTCTCAAAATTCAAAATCGCCTCTCACCTTTGTGAACCAGAGGAGCGGTAGAGCTGAAAATGTTCAAACTGGATGTTCCTCTGCGTCTCCAGCCTACACCGGTCAGACTTCAACATCATCTGAAAGAATTCCCTCAGAGGGGAACCTGAGGTTTGCACGCAAAGTGAGTCTGAAAATCTCTTCATCCTATTTAAAATGTATTGTGCTGCAGGTGGGTTTTAGTCAAGTTGTTTTTCATGACCATTTCTCTTTGAACAGTGTTTTTTGCTGCTGTACCTTTTAAAGGGTTAGTTCACCCAAAAATGAAAATTAGCCCGTGAATTATTCACCCTCAAGGCATCCTAGGTGTATATGACTTTCTTCTTTCAGAAGAATCCAGTTGGAGTGATATTAAAAAATGTCTTTGACATTCCAAGCTGTTTAATGGCAGTCAGCGGGTGTTGCAGTGCATCAGTCCAAAAGAAGTGAAATAAAGCACATCCATCCATAATAAAAAGTGCCTCACACGGCTCCGGGGGGTGAACAAAGTCCTCCTGTAGCGAATTGATACTGTTGTACACGGAAGCAGTTCCGGGCGGATGACGTATGAGGTCGGCTTTGCGCTGCTCAGAAGTGACGCACGTGGAAGCGCAGGGGAGAACTGTTGGCGCAAGCTAGAATAAAGTGATTATTACGTTTTGAATATGGATATTTTTCTTACAAAAACGCATCGATTCGCTACAGGAGGCCTTTGTTCACCCCCCGGAGCCGTGTGAGGCACTTTTTATTATGGATGCATGTGCTTTATTTGACTTCTTTTGGACTGATGAACTGCAATACCCGCTGACTGGCAGACTGGCTAGTTTGGAAGATCAAAGACCATTTTTAATATAACTCCGATTGGATTAATCTGAAAGAAGGAAGTCATATACACCTAGGATGGCTTGAGGGCGAGTAAATAATGGGCTAATTTTTATTTTTGGGTGAACTATCCCTTTAAGAGGCGCCCTTTTTTAACTGTGAAATGCACACCGTTCCTGAGCACGTTCTTGCACACATAGGCTTGCTGTCATGTCAAATAGTTTGTAACTGGCCCATCCTTCAGTATAAGCTTTGCATCTCATTGTAACAGATGCACAACACAATAAAATGTAACGAACAATGGATCTGATTGAAACAACAAAGAACCTTGTTAAAAATAAATGCCGACTGCTCGTCTCACAATGACTGTTTCTCATCACCTGGAGGGTATCACTGATGTACAACTGTGGGTGGTCATGTTGATGCATTGATCTGCGTGCAACTTTTTAATGTCACTAAGTTTTGGAAGTTCAGAATGAGTCATGTTTGCGGCTTGTTTCTGATAAATGTCTCGAGTTAGTTTCAGTGTGTTTTAATAGAACATCAAACTCTTTTATTTTAAACGATCAAGTAAAGTGTGATTCCTTGTTTCTTTTAAAATGGCTCAAGCCACTGAGTTTTGCCGTTTCTAAATCTGTCGTGCCTCTGTATATTGAGATGTTTCTGTGATGATAAATGTGTTAATAAAATTTCTCTTACAGTGTGCAGAGCTGCACGGGTACATCAGACCCCTGTTGGAGCTGTTGAAGGGGCTGAAAACCGGTCGATATGATAAAGGTAATGCACAAAAGAAAAATCAAAAACTACCTTTCAAAAGTTGGGTCATTTATAGTGTCACAAAAAAATCTTATTTTAAATTAAGGCTGTTGTTTTGAACTTTCTTTTCATCATAGAATGCTGAAAAAATTTATCACTGTTTCACTAAACTTTTAAGCGGCACAGCTGTTTTCATTGATTAAAAGATTTTGTGACACTGAAGACTGGAGTAATTTAAAAAGTAATTTATATAAAAATAATTTAAAACAATTATTTAAACTATATATATATATATATATATATATAATTAATATATTATTTCAAATAAATGCAGCATTGGTGAGCATAGAAGTTCTTTTTAAAAATATTTAAAAATTCTTTTAGACGTAGTAGTTAGTAGTCTCCATCCATTACATGTAATTGTGTATTTTTTGTTTTTTTTATTCTTAAATTTTTTTCTTTCTTTTTGGCAGGTTTGAGCACATTTCAACAGAGTGTTGCCATTGATAGACTGCGAAGGATTGTGGGTGTTCTACAAAAACCTGACCTTGGGTATATAATTTTATTCTGTTAAACTTTCACCATTGACACATTTCTTACTTGTATCCAATACATATAATGCCTTTTGATAAATCCTATTCAATTCCTGCTATACCTCCATAGGGAGAAGTATATGGGCACTCTTCTGCAGCTGGAGATTATGTTAAAGGTTTGGTTCCCTCAGGTGAGGCCTCAGCATTGGGAAGGCACCCCTTCGTTCCACAACCTGCCTCCACGCTGGAATCAGGACCAGCTACATATTCCTGTGAAGGTAAGCGGCTGATATCCACCTTATTTTGCAATGCAGAAATAAGCTTTTTTCTGTGAATGTGCGAGACTTATGATTCATTAGTTGTTATAGGTAAATAACTAAAGGAATAACATAAGTGCAGTAAATGGTAAAACTAATTGCTCTACAAACCAAGGTGTTTATGATTATGATAATACATTTAAATAATATGATAACAAATACCAGTTTGCAATATCAAGCAGCATAAGCTGTACAGCTAAAATAATGGATGATACCAAAACACACAAGTTACAAATGGCCGCAACTGCTCTTATGTGAACAATAAGGTGGATACTTTTCCAAAATAGAAATGCTTTGAAACAAACCATATGAGAAAAGCTACCAATATGGCCATTATATTGGTTAATCGGTGTCTAAATATGTGTCTACCGCAATCTGGAATGGTTTATTGTTTGTCTTCGATAACATCAAAGCCTTTTATGTATTAAATGACATCTTTTTCTTTCAGAAACGCAGATTAAGTTGGTCAGACTCTGACTCGCAAGGATCTTCAAGCAGCAAACGCATTCAAGAGGACGATCGAGGGCCGAGCCCCAGCGATAGCAGCTCATGGCTTAGCAGCTCCGATACCATGTCTAGTGAACTTGAAGAAGACAGTCCGATCTGTACAAATCAAAATAATATGACATCTGAAACCAAACTCATTGAAAACCGCAAACTTCAAGTCAGGCAAAAGACAAGCTCTCTGACTGCAACAGGAAGACCACCTCTGCTTGTAATACCACCGCCAGCCACAGATGGCAGCAGCTTGGGCATGCAGGACTGTTGGGTGTCCTCCACAACTCCTACTTCCGACCCACCAGTAGACACGATGATTAGTAAGAAAGATTTGGGTGAATCTGCAAAAGAAGAAGGGCCAAAAAAACAGATCGACACAGAGATGTTAAACATAATATTTTAAAGTTTCTCATTTTTAAACGAATTAATGAATGAAGCATTTCTCCAGTCTGTTGATATTGGAAACTTTTATTCAGTTTTTTGCATTCTGCCACATATATGTACAGCACAGACGTAATCATATGTATGGCATAAGATTTGTGCATGTACGGTTATAGACTGAAGAAAGAAAGTCTTAAAATACATGCTGGAGCCGTACAGTCGACCGGCGAAGCATGCACAGCTATCAAACACTGTACTGCACTGCCTTCCATGATAAACACCGACTTCCAACAATATCTGCTGCTGTATGAACATAAAACCAGGAGGCCAGATATCAGCAGAAGAATGGTCTTGTAAAACGTCCAGAAGTGTGACTGCGATCGCAATCTACCTTAATTTCCTTTGACTTGAATTGAAAACCACTTTGAGCATCAGATGAAATAGAAATGCATTATATGAGAGGATGTTTTAGAGGCAGTTTTATTTATTGCATTATTACTTGAAGATACTGAATTCACTTAAGCAGCCTTAAAGAGTCCGTACCAGTGGGCCGTGGTCCATTATCATAGCTCAATGTTTTGTTTATGAAGATACAGAAAGAAGAATCCCGGGAACAACAGATGGGATGCCTCGTGAAGCGTTATTTTATAATCTGGAGAGTAAACGGTCATTTATTGTATATGTTTTTTTGCCAAAAATTGTTTGCACATTTATGTTCTGCTTTCATGTTATAAGAGTTCATTTTGCACAATTGTTTCCTTGTACTCACCTTTTTTCCATTTTAGAATTTGTGAATTTCAGCATTGTGACTATTAACCATTCTCTAAAACGAACTAATGTTCAAGTTGATGACAACGAGTATGTGGCGTGTCACACGGAGGAAGACGAGACTTGTTTTATTTAGCTATTTGTAGAATATATTCTGACATTAGAGATGCAGTATTTGGTAGTTGCTTCATGAGGAATGAGAAGAACTTTATCGGTATGTTGACTGAGACTCATGTAGTCACGTCCTTGTGCAGCTGTACGAGTATCGTGTGAAAAATACATGTAAGTATATTGTTGGAATTATAATGGAGATTATATTATGAGGGAAAAGTGCATATGAAGATGTGTTGTGATTAATATTTAATGCCACTTAACAGCTTTATGTGATTGTGAAGGTAGCATTTTTAGGAAGATGTTTTTTATTATTACTATTATTTGTTTCAGAAAAGTCAGCCATTGTAGCACCACTGTTATTTTCTATTCATTATTCAAAACCATTTTCTCTTGTAAGTAATTTCTGTTCTTGCATCAAAGTTTTTGTCAAGGTTGCTGAAATGTTTTCAACATGCTCCACTTTTTGATATCATTAAATGTTTCCAAGTTTCTTATATTTGAAATGTATTTTTTATTTGTTTTATTTGTTTTTAGAGGTCGATTATGACAGCCCATACAGGGGATGGATATATATATATACATACAGAGAGAGAATTTTTTTATATACCATTCAAAGTTTTGGGGTTGTTGGTGTTTTTTTTTTTTTTTAAATGTTAAAAGTCTTTTATGCTCACCAAGGCTACACTGTTTTTTATTAAATTAAAAATACAGTAACAATTGTAGCCTAATATTGTAAAATATTACAATGTAACTGTTTTATATTGTAATATATTTAAAAATGTAATTTATTTCAGTGATGGCAAAGCTGATTTTTCAGCAGCCATTACTCCAGTCTTCAGAGTCACATGATCCTTCAGGAAAGAAAACATAAATAAAAATGACCCAAAATATTTAAATGGTAGTGTATTTTAAAACAATACATAAAATAACTTATAGTGTATTTCGAAATATACCTAAAATGTAAATGTGAAATATATTTTGCAATGTATTTTGTTTATGAATATATTTTCAAGAAATGTACTAATTTCTAAATACACACACACATATATATATATATTCTTAAAAACACATTTATACAGTCTGCCTTTCTCACTTGGGCTCTCTGTCCAGTGTCCATGACTGACCCCTGCTGGATGTTTGCATGATTTAGCATTATGAAATATTCATATTTATAAATGCTTCAGAGTGAGTTCAAAAGACCAAAGTTTCTACCTCTGCAATACTGCAAATTTTGTGTTGTATAACACATTTTCTTTGTCTGAGAAAAGTTGGAAGACAAGCAAGAAAGCAAGAGAGAAAGAGAGAAAAAGAAAAAAAGAAAAAGACACGACAGGACAGGACTTTTGGCTGTACATGTCTAATGTTGTTATTGTAATATTGAGATTAATGGAGGCTCAGAGTCTCATGATGTTGCCGTATCCACACTTGAACCTGTGAGGGGCAGCACTGCGACCAGAAGACTGGGAAAATGGCGGCTGGAAGTGCGCACAATAGTGGCTCATCGCCGCGCTTCGAGTCCGCTTTGGACCGTCGCTTTCAGACTGTATCCAACACCATGGAATCCATTCAGGGACTATCCGTCTGGTGCATCGAGAACAAGAAATATCACAGCGTGATCGTGCGATACTGGATAAAGTGGCTGCGCAAATGTGAGTATTTAGCACGTTAGCCGGCTAATCTGAGTCCAGCTGTGAAACAACAACCTGTTTACGGGATCAAATTTATGTTAGTTGGGCTTTCAAAATGGACGTATGTGATATTTGTATGAGAAAGTAGCATAGAAATAATTGTGACAGGCTAGTTTTTCTTTTTCGGCCCACTAAACAACTGTTGTGGCTAGTTAGCAAACTGCTAATCTGTTCCTATCAGGTCAAGACGTAGGTTGTGTTTCAAAAGCTAGAGAACTGCCTTCCTAGACAGCATTTTGGCGCCTTCCAAGGCAGCGGTTGTTTTGGGGAACATTATCTTTCAAAGTAGAGGAGTTTGGGGTCAGCGGCATTTTTGGGCCAAATAGGGGGAGTTCTGGGTCAGTTGCTTAGGTGTCATTGTCACGATTCCAGTCAGCAACGTTTTGGGGCAGTAAAGGGGTGTTTGAGGTCAGCAACATTTTTTGGCAGAATGGGACATTAAGGGTGAGTGTCTCTTTTCAGCTAAATGTGAATATTTGAGTCCAGTAGCAACTTTAGAAAGGACAGATGTGCTTTCAGTGAGCAGTATTTTTATGTTCTTGCAGTAAATAGGGGAATTTGTTGTCAGCAGCATTTTGGGGCATAATTAAGGTACATTTTGGGTGTCATAGGCACATTTAGAATCAGCAGGGTTTGTGTTTGGTGTCAGCAGCATTTTGGGACAGAATGGGGTGTTTGTGTCAGCTATATTTTGGGTGTCATAGGCATGTTTCGAATGAGCAGCGTTTTTGGATTCAGCAGCAATTTGGGAAAGAATAAGGCGTTTGGGTTCAGCTACATTTTGTGGGTCATAGGTACATTTTGAATGAGCAATGTTTTTGAGAAATAAAAGGGTGTTTGGGGTCAGCAGTTTTTTGTTTTTTTTGCCAAAATAGGGTCGTTCAGAGTCAGCAAGTGTCATATTTGGGGCAAATTGGGGCGTTCTGTTCAGTGTCATATTTTGAGTGTCATATGCATGTTTTAAATCAACGTTTTTGGGCAATAAATGGTGTTTGGCATCAGCAGCGTTTTTGAGCTAAATGGGGGTGTTTGGAGTCAGCAGCTGTTTTGGACAGAATAGGGCGTTTGGTGTCGGTTACATTTGTCGTAGGCATCTTTTGATCTGCAATGTTTTTGAGCAATAAAAGTGTGCAAAATGAGGTTTGTAAGGTCAGCTACATTTTGAGTGTCATAGACAAGTTATTTTTGGGTGTTAAATAGGGTTGCAAAGGGGTGGAAAATTTCCGGTAAGTTTCCGGAAACGTTCCAAAAATCCCTGTAATATTCAAAAAAAAAATCCTAGAAAGTTTCCAAAATTTCTGGAATGCTTCTGAAATTTACTGGGAATTTTCCACCTTCGCTCAAAGTTAAAATGATTTCAACAGCATGTTTCATTACGTCTCTTTGAATGAATGAATCGGCGTTTTTGAACGTGTAGTTGAATGACAGCCACCACCTTGTGGCGCAACACTGTAACTGCACTGACTGACAGCCCGTCTAGAACGCGCGCAGGAGGAAATATCAATAGAAAGTCTCTTGTCCAGTCAGATTAGAAGATCAGATTACAACTAGGCTAACTGTTATACATATAGGCTAACGATAGCCTAACGATCTTATTGTGTGTGTGTATATATATATATATATATATATATATATATATATAGCGCGGTATGCGGTATTACCGCCATAAATATACACACACATATATATATATATATGTATATGTGTGTGTGTATATTTATGGCGGTAATACCGCATAACGCGCTATTGAGCCACTCAAAATTACCGTAAGGGAAATTCCCTCACCGTGACAGCCCTACTTATACATTTTAAGTTAAATTGTGCTTTGTTGGTATAGTGCAGCGGTGGCGAACTCCGGTTCTGGAGAGCCGCAACCCTGCAGAGTACAGCTCCAACCCTAATTAAAACTCACCTGCCTGTAGCTTTCTAGTACCCCTTCAGACCTTGATTAGCTTGTTCAGGTGTGTTTGATTAGGGTTGTAGCAAAACTCTGCAGGGCTGCGGCTCTCCAGGACTGACGTTCGCCACTCCTGGTATAGTGTCTACTAGAATATTAAAAATGTTCAGTGTTAAATATTTTTAATTGTTGTTTTGTAATAGATTTTTTTTCTTTGAAAAGCAAGACAAAACAGTAAAAAGCACATTTTGGCTTTTTAATTTATGCAATGGTGAAAAAAAAATCGGCAAAATACATGGGGAAAAAAACTCTGTCTTCGGCCTTCGGCCCAGTGTTTAATTTTGTTCGGCTTCGGCCAAGAATTTTCATTTCGGTGCATCCCTAATAACGACATGTGAATAATCCCGCACACTCTAAAGCGGTACTAAACTGCAGTGGAAACGCGAGCCGTGCCGTACTGAGCCGTGCCGAGTCGAGTCGTGTCGTACCACGCAGTGGAAAAGCGCCAAAAGAGGTGTTTGGGCTCAGGAGCAGTTTAGATTATATAGGGGTGTTTGGTGTAAGCAGCATTTTGGGGCAGAATTGGACGTTTAGGGTCAGCCACATTTTGGGCATCATAGGCACGTTTCGAATGTGCTGCGTTTTTGGGCAATAAGGGGTGTTTGGGTTCAGCAGCATTTTGGGGCAGAACAAGAGTGTTCAGGGTCAGCTGTATTGTGGGTGTCACGGGCTCCTTCCAAGTCATCAGCATTTTTGGGCGTAACTAGCACTTCAGAGTCTGCATAAGCTATATTTTCATTAGCCAAGTTTCCATCCAGTATTTGCACTGTTCTGTTATTGGCAAAGTGAAAACGAATAAAAAAGTTAGCAGATTTTGCTTCCTTCAGCCTGATGGCATAATGACGTCATCTTTAAATTTAGCTGCTGTATTGATAACCATTTTGATGCACTAAACCATTTACACACAAACTTGATGCAAATTTGGCTGTAGGTGTGTTCCAAATCAGCTGCAGTTTTGGGCATCAGGCACTAGACTGTGTTTTTAAAACACAGCCATTGTGTCACTGTTTAGTGGAACCTAAAATAATCAGTTTTTTTTATTAACATCCTCTTCAGTACTAATTTAATTTATCTGTGTTATAAATACTCTGGTGGGTTGTTACTTTCTGAGATGTCAGAAATGTTTGTTTGCTTGCAGTTTGTTATGATTCTTGGGACTGCTGGGACATCATCTATGAACCACTAGTGATCATATGGACAAAATACGCATTAACCGGGCAGTTGCTGAAAACTTTACAATTGCTAGTTTAAAAAGTAATAAAAAGTATTTTGTGTGGAAGTGAAAAGTACTGTTTTGTCCTGTGCACATCCTGCTCCAGAACATTACCATACTGTTTGCTCTTTGCTGTGCTTTCTGCAAGTATCCTGATTCCTGACATGTGAGGTTTAGCCTGAGCAAGTTGATTTGGGTCCTTAGCTATTAGGAGTGCCAATTACGTAATTTTTTGGATTTTTAAGAGGCTTTAGGATAAGAATGTGTGTCAGGAACATAAATGCTCCTTCTGTATAAATACTTGAGGTGTTGAAGACTGTTGTGTGCATTGGATTTTATGCCATAGATA